TAATGATCTGGTGATCTGATCATAAAAAGCCACCAGGTTGGTCTGACAGGACCTGCCACTGATGAACCCGTGCTAATTGCCCCTAAGCATGCAGTCCCCTGCTGGCCCCTCCTGGATGTGTGCCAGAATTATTTTCTCAAACAGCTTGCCTAGGATTGAGGTAAGACTAACTGGCCTATAGTTTCCTGGGTCCTCCTTCCTCCCTTTTTTGAAGATTGGAACCACGGTGGCCCTCTTCCAGTCCTCTGGCACCTCTCCAGTGCACCACGAGTGCTCATAAAGCTGTGCCAAGGGACTTGCAATGACCTCGGCCAGTTCCTTTAGAACTCTAGGGTGGAGATCATCCGGACCGGCTGACTTGAATTCATGTCCAGCCCCTCCAGAAGCTCCCTAACTAAGTCCTCACTAACCCTTGGCCTAGGAGGTCTCCTTGCATCCAAAGACACCGGGGAGCACAGCTCAGCCCAGCCAGACACGCAGGAGGCCCCCCCAGCCCCGTGCTGGTCCTTCGTGCCCCATAGCCCGGGCCCGCACCGGGGCACATGCATGTGGCCACGGGCTCTCAGCTCACGGCACGTGGACAGACAAATTTTCAAGGGCAGAAGCAACCGACCGAGTCAGGGGGGCCAGCAGGCTTGCAGCTTGTGCAGCCTGCCGTGTCTGCCAGAGGGGCTTCGTTCCCTACGGCCCAGCCAAAGCTCGCAGGACACTCCTGAGGCCGCAGGTCCATTTAAGCAAGGGTCCAGATCTCCTCTTTCCATAACCCACCCCTGGCTCCTCATTGCAGCTCCCCAGGGGTAGGGCTGCCTTCCCTCTGTATGCATGCAGCGAGGCTGCGATCAGTGCTTCCCGGTGCTGGGCATGGGCAGGAGGGGCAGCACGGGGGTGCAGAGGGCTCCGGCACCCCCAGTAAGGCTCCCGGTCGTGGGAGACATCTCATGGAAAGAGCCGGCTCTGCACCGGTTGCCATGAGATGCAGAGTGGATGGAGGGAGACGCGGGGGACAGAGGTGCTGGAGAGCCAGGCTGATGCTATGAAACTATGCTACGGAGACCCAGACTCAACAATGCACAAGAAACGCCTATATATTTTTTATTTTTTAAAACCTGCGAAGCAGCTGTTCCCATGGCAACGAGCTGGGGAGCAGACCCAGGAAGGAGCGCTGGCCTCGGGCGCTGCTAGAGACATGGCAGGTATCGGCTCCCAGGGCCACGTGCCGAGTCACAAAGCCCTCCCAGGTCCCACCCACCTTGCTCCCCTGGGAGTAGTGGGCACAGCAGAGTTCAGCCCCGGGGCTCCACGGAGCGGGTCTTGAAGGGCCCACAGCCTCCCGCCTCGCTGCAAAGCTGGGGGCTAAAGGGCTTCCTCCCTGCCTTTGCACATGACTTCAGAGGATGAAGCCTGACCGCCCCTGGGGAGCTTGTATCTGGGCTCCGACCCCACACCGTGATGCAGGGATGCAGGACAGGAGGTGACCATAGCACACCAGCCTCCAAACCAGCCAGCAATGGGTGAGTGAGCACCCAGCTTTGTCCAGGGTCGGGATCCTGGAGCCTTTTGCAGCCCCTTGTGCAGGGCACACATCCCTCTAGCACCACGGAGCTGCTCTTACCGTGGGCATCTCGGTAGTAGGCGTGGGTGACGCTGCGAAACCGCTCTTGCCCAGCTGTGTCCCAGATCTGGAAAGGGCAAGCACAGGAGAGCCCGTCAGACATGCCCCAACGTGCACCAGCCACGCAGGGACCCTGGCGCAGTAAAGCTCCCCTTGCAAACGGCTCAGCTCAGAGTTACAGGGACATCCCAGAGCAAGGCTGTGGGTTTATATGGGAGCTGCAGTCTCCCCCCCTGCTCTATATGAGCAGTGACGGGGGCTGTAAATAGCTGTACTCCCTCAGACCCACTGGGCACGGAGCCTGCTGCCCCTGGCTTGCTGAGGGCAGGCAGTGGCTCACTTAGTTGCCACCAAGGAAGCATAAAGTGCTTAATGCCCCATCGCCAGCTCCCTGGGACAGCCTGCGTGGCCGTGCCCAGGGGATGCTGCCCAGCCAGGCAAGCATCAGCATCAACGAGATGCACTGGAGGAAACGAGTAGGGGCTGGGCAGCACAGGAATGGAAACAGCTCAGCCTTCAGAAAGGCGAGGCGAGGACTGCCAGCCTGACCAGAGTCTTCCAGGAAATCAATACAAAATCAAGTGTCAGGCGGGTTCCCCGAGACAGCCGCACTCGCATTTCATTTTAACAACCATCTGCCAGCTGAGCAGCTCATTTGTGGCAAAGGGGGGGATGTTCACAGGGATCATCCCAGAAAGAAAGTGACAAGCACCATCGAGGCCAACGAGGCACCTCGCCAGTCCCGGCATGGCCACATGCTGACACGACTGGGTCCGATAAAGAGTGCACGGCATGGTGCGTGCCTCATTGAACCCCCCTGTGCCAGATGGATGGGTGAGGACCCACTAATTGACTCGATCAGGTTGTAATGCAGGGATGCGCTTGCAGAGTGTCACGTCCCAACGGGCAAGGGAGGAGAGCACGAGTGTCAGGACTGAGCTGCCGGTGCAGAGGTCGGGGAACACAGCCAGTTCCCCAGGGACCTGAGTAGAAGCAAGGAAGACACTGATCCAGACCAGGGGGACTTGGTTTTAGGGTTAGGGTTTCACCCCCTTCCCCAGGGCAACTGCACCAACAGCTGACACCGGGGCTGACTCCAAGTACACACAGCATTAGGAACGGGTCTGAATCAGGCCCCTGGTAGCAGCCACTTCATCGCCCATTGGCAGCTAAGCAGCCAACTTCAAATGAGGGGTCCCGCTAAGCTCCCTGTGTCCCCCAGCACCGCCCATGCTGGCCCCCCACATTCAAGGGACTGAGCAGAGGCCTGGGGAGTGCTTACCTGCAGCTTCACTTTCACACCATCCACGTTCAGGACTTTATTCTGGAAGAGAGAAGAGAGGGAGGATGAGAGAGGGACCACGAACAAGCTCTTCCTGTGAGCTCTCTGCCTTCAGACTTGCCCCCTCGTACCACCCTGCTCCTGTGTGCCAGGTTGCACGGAGCTGGACGATGAAGACTGAGGATGCTCTTGGGGCCCCTGTTTACTGGGGCAATGAGCTACCGCACCGCCCCAGCACGCTTCTCAGACCAAGCTATACAGAGCACATGTTAGCTAGCACTGGGGGAAAACCTGGCTGGAGCCCCTCAGCATACACTCACTGCACAAGGATGAGAAGAGAGCCTCAGCTGGGCCCAACAGGATTGCTCGTTAGCAAGGCCCTGTGATTCCTGATGGCCACGGGGACAGGCTGCATGCTACAGGGGTGGTGTAGGGAGGACCCCCATCAACCTCCCTCTCCTGGCCTGACCTCTACCAGCATTGTACCAGCAAATCTTAAACCCTGCCAGCACAAAGCACCCCTGGAGTAGCTGGACCCAGCAGAAAGCTTCAGCGCCCGACTCAGAAAGGGTTTTGGAGTTAAAAAACAGCGCCCAGCAGGTGGCGAGGACGCCAGGAGCTGGCCCACTTCGGGACCATCTATGTCCTGGTGCAGCCGCATGCACCACACGGGTTTCAGGGGACCTGGGCAGGGGACCGAGTGCGGGAGCAGGGGGCGAGACCCAAAACCAGCAGGCATCAAATGGAGGCATGGGGCCACCCAGACACCCATCCTGTTAGGGGTGGGTCTGCAACAGGAAGAGCGTTGCCGTGGTCGCTGTGGTGGGCAGGCAGCCCTCCCCCTTCATCTGTTTCATTTAGCACCGAATTATGACCCAGGCTGGAAACATTCCTGGGGGATGGGGAACTTGCTTCTGCAGATGGGAGAAGTTACAGGTAACCAGGTGTGGGAGGTCTACCCCCCTATTGAGTTAGCAGTGACCTCATGGCATGGGGGCAGGCGCTCCTGTCACTCTTCCAGGTAACCAGTGATGCATTTCAAATCGATTGGCTAGCATCCAACAACATCTGGCCAGGATTGATTCAGGATGGTAATGCCAAAAGGGCTATATAAGCTCAAACTGCCCAGGAGGGGAGGGGGAGAACCATTTTGGACAGCATGGGAACAACTGACCAGAGGGAGAGAGGGGGATCTCTCCCTCTCTCTCTTGAAACTGGACACACATTGAACTGCTGCCTCCAGAGGAAAGCTCAACCAGCCTCTGGATGATACTTGTGAGAAACCTACTTGAAACCTATCCAGATGTATACCTTGCAGTACAGCAGATGCATAATCAACAGCTACCTAGCCACACTGATTGCTTCAAGGTTATTCTATGATTCCTTCCTATCCTGAATCCTCCCCCGAGCCTCCTCTCTGTAACCAATATTGAAGTTCTCCACTGTACCTAGTGTGGTGGATTCATTGGGAGAGGGATAAGAGGTATGCCTTCATGTCTGGCTGACTAAGGAAGGCTACTATTTCTGCTCCAGGCCATGGGAAATATCCCAAGGTCTTGCAATGGGTCAAGCACCCTTAAGGTCTACAAGGCCTGTGTATCCCAGGGGGCACAGGGCTGCAGACAGACCGAGACGCCTGAGTGGTGGCAGCGATGACCCCAGGCTTGCAGGTGTGCTCCAGGAAGGGGATCAGCTGGACGTGAAGCACCCCAGGGAGACACTTGGAGCCTGGTTGGTGGTAGGGTGTAGTGAGATGGGTGGCTCAGCACGGGAGTATGCCCTGCTGGCCCACGACAACCTAGGTGCCCATTTACTAATAAAGTGACCTCACTTTGCACCAACTCTCTCAGGCTCTCATGAGCCCATCAGCCCTCGCTGCCAAACAGGAGAGAGATGCTGGTAACACCCGGGTCAGCCGGTGACTGAGATACCTGCCCCTTGCCCTGGGGAGGCATATGGTACATCCCCTCCAGCGTCTTAATGATCCATTTGCTTTGTGCCTCCTGCCGCCAACTTCATTTCACTGGCTCGGTCCCTTATCAAACATTCATTTCAAAAACTCTCGCTTCTCGCCAGCAGTTCAGCAGCTGCGGCGAGATGAAGTGTTGTTCTTTATTAAGGCCGCGTATTTTTTGTGCTGGGGTCAATGGAGTGGAACCACGCTGCGTGTCTGGGCCGCACGCGGGGTGGCCTGCAAGCTGCCAGGAATTGCCGGCTCTCACTTGGCGAACCAGCAATGCTCCAGTTTCACTTGGACCCACGCACCTTCATTCTGCCCATCCCTCAGACCCATCCCTGCATCTCTGGCACAGCAGGGTTCCCTCCAAAATTTGCTTCCTGGGGGTCCACATGAGATCCCCATGCAGAATTCCCCCTTTCCCATCACAAACAGCTGTCTCCCTGGGTTCGTCACCATGTGAGGCCTTATTTATTAACAACCCCCCGGGTCTCTCCAGGCTCAAGAGATCCTTGCAGAAGCCCCCTGGGCTGCTGTTTTCATGCATTCTTTGAAAGGTAGAAATTTGGGCTGCTGACTCTTAACAGCCCCTTGTGCATCTCTGCTATGGGTGTGTGGTCTAAGGGGAAAAAAGGAGACAGTGTGCAGGGGGCAGCTGGGCTGGTGTGTTACTCCAAGTAGGAATCAGGACCAGCTGCTGCAAGACGTGGATGGAGGAGAGTATCAGGGCCAGTTCTTCAGTGGGTCACACAGAGCCATTCCCTTCAGCCTCTGCAGAGTGGGCTCAGAGCATGCCCCTCTCATCCCTGGGGACACACGGGTTCAAGCCACAACCCTGGCCCAGTCCACACTTCACTTGCCAACCGGGCCAGAGTTTGCTCATCTGGTTGTGGAGGGTGAAAGCCATCTTCCCTGAGCTTCTGTTTGCATGCTGCTCTGAAGATGCAAGGAGGCATCATTGTTACGACCACGATTTAGACATTCTCCATAAACCCAATTCCCTTGCTTGGCACTTTCAACCTGAATCCGGGCTGGAACATACGGCTAGTAATGAAATCATCTTCCTCCAAACTGTGAAAGGTTTCACTGTCATGTAATATCCTGACTTAATGTCAGCTCTCCAAATGCAACAAGAAGGTGAAGCGCTCTGGCAACGGCAAGCATAATTGAGTGCTACACTTCTCCCCAAACCCCGCTCCCCACTGGAATCAACTGCTGACATTTCACCGGGAAGCCTTCAAGGCACGACACCTCGGCTCAGCTGCTTCGAAGGTGCCGTGATTAACATTCACAATATCCAGCAACAGCTTATAATGGGAGCAGACCTCCGGTGCCGTGACATCCCCGCATTTCAGTTTGCAAGCCATGCCCCGTCTCGAGCAGGGACTGACCGGTCCCATCTCCAGATCAGAGACACGACATGCCATAAAGGAGAATCGTGTCACCATCAAGCTGTTCTCCTTATTTTGTCCCACTCAAGGATGCTCTCCCACAAATCTCCAAGACTTTATATAAATAGTTAGACCAAGTGGGATTATCAATAAGCCAAGACTCTCCTGAAATACCCCCATGCCATTCAGGAAGGATACAGCAAAAACTGGCTCCCATGGACTCAAAGCAGCTTGCTTGAAAGGAGTGGATCCATCCAGAACATCACAAGCACCTGTCACCATATCCTCGTTCTCCCTGCCTGCAAGCCCGGCCCTAACCACCCTGAGGATGCTAATGATGAGCAATTGTACTTGCTTACCTTTCTCTCTTTAATTGAGGTGACACACCTGGGAGAGAGAAATCACTCAGCTGCAGGCTGCATCTCTACAACAAGTTGGGAGTCAACTCACAGCGTTCCCCTAATGACTGCCCACTTGCACATTTTCTGCCCATACCTCCCCTGGCGCGATTGCTACCTGATTTCTAATCACCGGCATGTGTGTACCTGTGCATCACACGTACAAACAAAGCTGCTTTCTCCTTCTCCTCCCATTCACATGGACCTCAGCACAGGAAAAAAAAAAAAAAAAATCAAGAGGGAATTTTTGGGGTTCCCTGGGGCTGGTGGGGGGCAATACCTTCTGGGTCCCCTGAGCTGAGATGCGACAGGGAGGACTCACAGGGCAGATGAAACCAAACTCAGCCCAGCCTGGAGACTGAAAGCCAAGGCAGGGAGCTGGGAAGACCATTCATCTCCCTGCTAGACCCATCAGATGAGCAGCAGCCACGGTGCAGGGGTGTTGAAAAGTCCCCAGCCACAATGCAATGCTCCCTGCAAGTCTGGAGAGGACGGGGAACACGGCGATGTCCCAGGGCAGAGGCCAGCTCCCATATTCACACCGGCCAGCTTCCTTGGGGAAACCTCCCCAGGCTGGCTGCTCTTTCCGAGGAGGTGTACAAGCAGCTGGCCAACTCCACCATGCCAACAACCCGCTCCTGGTCACGCGATGTGGCTCCAGCCCTCTGCAAGGCCACAAGATGCCTTGCTGTGTCCGGACACAGCGCAGAACTCAGAAAGGAAGATACAATGGATCCCGGACCTCGGCCCCTTCCTGGATCGGCGCAATCAAACAGGGGACCAGAACCCAGAAGTCCTGACAGCACAAATCACTCCAGCATCCCGAGCTGCGGCTAAGAGCCCTGGGACATGCGCTAGCCAGCTTGCGAAAGACGGAGCAAAGCGGCTGCGGTGTCATGGAAGACTCCGAGGGGATGGTGCGCTGGGGTTTTGGAGAGCAGATCGCCGTCCCGGGCCACAGCAGCTCACGTCACCCGGTCCACGGAGCCCAGGGGACCCACAGCTCTGCCAGCATACCAGGAGCTGCTGGCTTGTCATTTTCCATTAGATGGGAGAGATGGCATCACACACATGAGCGTTTTAAACTGCCCTGAGAATGGCCACACACACCTTCGGAGTCAGGGAAAGAGCAAGGCCTACAGCGTGGAGCGTTGCTCCAAGGACCCCTGGGCTCAGAGCCGTCAGAGCACCATGCACAATGCAGGTTGGCTTCACAACCATCCCCTTCCTTCACAGGCGGGAGCCCGGAGGCCTGGAGTCTGGCCAGCATCTGCCAACAACCAGAACAGGGCGAGT